AGCTCCAACAATAGAAAAGATCAATAAAACCAAGAGCTGGTTCTTTGAGAATAAACAAGAGTCATGGACCACTAGCCAAGCTCAAAAGAAACAAAAAGAGAGGCCCCAAATAAACAAAATCAGAAACAAAAGAGGTGAAGTAACAACTGACCCCACAGAAATACAAAGGATTGTAGCAAAATACTATGAACAACTTTATTCCAACAAACGGGACAACTGGGATGAAATGGACATATTCCTAGAAAAATACAATCTTCCAAAACTCAATCAGGAAGAATCAGAAAATCTGAATAGGCCAATAACTACTGATGAAATTGAAGCAGTAATTAAAAATCTCTCAGAAGCCCTTGTCCAGACAGATTCACAGGGGAGTTTTACCAAATATTCAAAGAAGAACAAATCCCTCTACTTCTCAAACTATTCCAAAAAACTCAAGAGAAAGGAACACTTCCAAACTTTCTATGAGACCAGCATCACCCTAATTCCAAAACCAGATAAAGACACAACAAAGAAAGAGAACTACAGACCAATATCCCTGCTGAAAATAGATACTAAAAATCCTCGACAAAATTTTAGCAAACAAGATCCAGCATTACATTAAAAAGTTCATACATCATGACCAACTGGGATTTATTTCGGAATGTAAGTCTGGTACAATATTCACAAATCAATAAACGTGATACAACACATAAAGAAGTTGAAAGACAAAAATCACATGAAATATCAATCGATGTAGAAAAAGCATTCAACAAAATCCAACACCCTTTTTTGATAAAAACTCTCAGCAAAATGGGAATAGAGGGAATATACCTCAACATCATAAAGGCTATAGATAACAAACCTATAGTCAACATCATACTCAATGGGAAAAAACTAAAACCATTTACTCTAAGAACAGGAACAAGACAGAGATGCCCTCTTTCACCGCTCTTGTTCGACATAGTTCTGGAAATCCTGGCCATAGCTATCAGACAAGGAGAAGAAATAAAAGACATCCCAATTGGAAAGGAGGAAGTAAAACTCTCATTATTCACAGATGACATGATACTGTACATAGAAAACCCTAAAGACTTCATAAAAAAACTACTAGGTTTGATAAATGAATTAAAAAATGTATCAGGATACAAAATTAACACCCCAAAATCCATAGCATTTTTATAAACCAGAGAAACCTTTTTATTTCACCTTCAGTTTTGCTAGATACAATAAGTAGTCTTGGATTTAGGCCCTTGCTTTTCATTATTTCAAGTACTTCATGCACTCTCTTCTGGCCTAAAATGTTTCTATTGAGAAGTCAGTTGACATTCTAATTGGAACTCCTTTGTAGGTAATTTTCTGTCTCTCTCTTGCTGCCTTTAATATTCTTTCTTTGTCTTTAACATTTGCCATTTTAATTATGATGTGTCTATGTGTGAGTCTCTTTGGGTTCATCTTGATTGGGATTCTGTGCCTCCTGAACTTGTGTGACCTTTTCCTTCATCAGGTTGGGGAAATTTTCTGTCATTATTTCTTCAAAAAGGTTCTCTGTTCCTTGCTTACCCTCTTCCCCTTCTGGTATTCCCATAATGTGAATATTGTTACATGTCATGTTGTACCAGAGCTTCTTTAAGCTATCTTCCTGCTTTTTAATTCTTTTTCTTTTCTATTTGCTGCTCTAATTGGGTATTTATTTCTACCTTATCTTCCAAATCACTGATTTGATCCTCTGCTTTATCCAATCTACTCTTAATCCCTTCCAGTGCATTCCTGATGTCAGATGTATCACTCTTCATTGTCTGGTTCTTGTTCATGGCCTCTATTTCCCTTTTCATGTTGTTATAATTTGCACTAAGTTCCTTAAGTATCTTTATAACCATTGCTTTAAAGTTTATGTCTGATAGGTTGTTTGCCTTTATCTAATTTAATTTTTTTTCTGGAGATTCCTTCTTTTCTCTCATTTGGGGGTTGTTTCTTTGTCTCTCCATTTTAGCTATCTCGTTGTATTTGCTTCTATGTATTAGATAGAACTGCTTTAGCTTCAAGCCTTTGTGAGATGGCCTTATATGGAAAATGTCTTGAGGGGTCCAGTGGTGTAGTCTCTTTGTTTTCCTGAGCTGGATGCTCTAGGAATGCCCCTTGTGTGTGTTGTTTGGGCTCTCCTGTTTTAATTGGGACTTGAATGTTGATGTCCTGTTTGTGGGAGGGATTTCCCCTCTGAGTTTCTACCAGTGAGGTTCAACTCCAATGTTGTAGTGTCAGCTGTTAAACAGGTGCTTTGGGTCCACTATTTGTGGGGCTTGCTGTATTTTGCTCTGATGTTGTTGAATGGTCCCTTTGGTATGTCTATCCTGGGCCTCCTGGGAGCTTCTCTAGTGTAGGTGAATGTGAGTAACTGTCCCTTTCTGGCCCTGGGCAACTTGATTGAGGTCCAATAGGTTGAATCCCCTAGTAGTCCAGTGTTTGGGGACCCAGATGCTGGGTCTGCCTTGAGTCTCATACCTCTATTGACCTTGTTCTGAGCTGTACTCCCTTCCCCAACAGAGCTGGTCCTTCAGGTGTCAGCTGCAGGCACTTGGGGTCCCACTGGCTTTTGCCTCACTGAGCAGTCCAGGATGGGACTGATCCTTGGCCCCTCTGGGAAAGGGGCCACATCCGCTGCCACCCACTCCCAGTTTCCTGTCCCAGCTCAGGGTCTGAAGGCCCTGGCGGGGTCGGGAGAGGAGGAGATGGTTATTGGGCTGGGCACGGAAGGAACAGACGCCAGACGATGACACTGTTGCTGCAGTTCCCCACCTCCACCCTCCTCCTTCCCTCGCTGCCGTGCTGCCACCGCAGCAGGTGGGCGCTGACTGGGGCCTGCTGGCTGGGGGGAGGGACAGGGCACAGGAGGTTGGCTGCCAGCCCCGAGGAGGGAGCCAGCCCTTGGCCCCCCCTGGGAAAGGGGCCACATCTGCTGCCACTCACCCCAGGTTCTCCATCCCAGCCTGGTGCCCAGCCCCGATTGGGCAATTGGGGCCTGCCAGCCGGGGGGACCATGGGAAGTTGGCTGGCTGGGGGAGGTTGCTGTGGGAGTGCACTGACCACCAGGGGCAACCCCTGTGTTAAGCGTCTGACCCCTGGTGGTCAGTGCGCATCATAGTGACTGGTCGTTCCAGTCATTCGGTCTTAATGGTCACTTAGACTTTTATATATATAGATTATATAAAATGTTGACTCAGTTATGAACTCAAATTTACAAAACAAGGCATCTTCAAAGACATCTGGGTTCCATCACAGTCTTTGTTATTATCATTTATGTCAAAGTTTCATCACACACAACAAATCCCCTGGTGAGATTCAGCCCACCCTACCCTCTGGCAATCACTGACCTGGTATCTGTCCCTATAGTTTTGCCTTTTACAGAATATTATATAAATGGGATAGTACAATTTGTAGCTTTGGGAATCATTTAGCAAAATGCATTTGAAGTTCATCAATGGTGTTTGGGTACCAACAGTTCATTCATTTTTGTTGCTGAGTAATACATGTGGTTCAGAGGTACCACATTGACCTGTTGAGGGGCATTTGGGTTGTTTCCAGACAGTTGTTTTCACAGTTTGTCTTTTTTGGTAGGTCTGATGAATCTGGCCCTTTTAGACTCTTCCAACCAAACAGTAAAAGAAAATACTGATCTGCTCCTGTGTTCTCAAGGGCCTTGGCCAGCATCAAAATAATTAAATCCCATTTCCCAGAAGTTGACAAAATACCTCCGAAACTCAACACCACTTTTGTTCCCATTTGCCTCTGATCTATGGTTCACCACACGCCAAATGGCTGTTCTCACTGGAGCTAACACACCCTGTTTGGATACAGAATTCTCAGCTTTTATTCATATATTTTATAAGCAAAATCCTTTTTATCACCTATGAATGATTTTGAGAAAGGCTCTGGCCTCTACTTTGGGCTCACCCACAGCCATGCTTGAAGATCTTCAGTGAAACAAAGCAGAATGAACCCCACCCCCATGAGTCCAAGGTCTGTTATTTGGTCACCAGGAACGATGCCCTGAGGACATTTTCTGTTTTAGGATGTTTCTTGAAAATAACTCTTTTACTTGGAGAAAGAAAAGGGTTTTATCACTATTTCCATCCTTTTCCACTTCATTCTTAGTAACCTATTTGTGTATTAACTCTATCTCTCTGTCTCAGACTCTCTCTGCCTCTCATCATTCACACAGTACCCTCCTCCTTACAAAAAGGATCTGAGATGGCTTAAGAAATGCTTTGAGGGTTACAAAATGTAAAATTATCCGGGGAAACTGAGGTTAAATGAAATATAAAAGTAGGAAAGATCCTTTGTAAGGTCTGATAAATTCTCTCTTAGAGATGGACCACAATTTTAGCTTTGAGTTTTCCAGGAGTCAATTCAAAGAGAAAAACGGGATCAGTCCCATAATACATAGCCCATATCGTCTATTGGGTTTTAAACAAGTGTATACACACACACACACACACACACACACACACACACACACACACACTCTGAGGCCTGGCTGGTGTGGGTCTTACTCTATTACTGAGACCTACTGAAATTCCCTCATGATGCAGTTTCTCAATGGCATCCTTGAATCCCTTCTGCCATGAATCCTCTGCAGCATCACTCCTCAAAATGCAGTCCAAGGACACCTGCATCCAACTCTCCTAAGGAGATTATTCAAAATGCAAACTCCTCTTGGTGGACCCAGAATTCGTTTTTTCTAACAAGGTCCCAGCTGATTCTTATGCATACTGACACTTGAGAGTCAGTGCTTAATGGCTCCGAGTTTAGATCAAGATTGTCCCAGCCTCAGGCTCCACTCCCCAAGTAGACTGTATCTGGGGTGCCCTGGCAGTAACCAACCGGATAGATCACTATAGGGAATCTACTTGAGGGCTGAGCCCTATGCCTGGCACTTAGTAGGAGGCCCAGGTGTGCATATGGAAGGAAAGCAGGAGAATGATGCACTAAAAGCAGCAATCTCTACTAAGAGCGCCCTCACTTACCATGCTCCATTCTGTGTTAAACCATTTGGCTCCACAAGGCTTCAGGTGGCAGGACTGTTGGCTGGGGGGTTTCTCTAGGAAGGAACATTCATAGGGGTCCAGCACTTCAAAGGTGTCTGCATTCTTCCTAACACAAATCACCTCCCTCTGTTGGGTCCCACTGCCACACTCTATGGAGCACTAAAGAAGGAAGCAGAGAAAGATGGTATCACATCACGGGAAGGAGATGAGAATGCCAGTCCATCAGGGTATGTCTGCATATCATCAATTCAGTGAGGAAGAGCCCAAGGGCACTGGAAAACATTTCTAGAAGAGCAGTGGCCCATGAATTCCAATTTTCCTAACAGTTCTGTGTCTGGGACGGAGAATGGGTGTCCTGAGTCATCATGGCTTCAGGCTACTGGTCACTGAGATCACGGTGCCCTCTGTGGAGACTGAAATGGTTCCCCTTAGACTCCCCTACAGAAACACACCAGGCAATCACTTTGCTTGTTTCTGTCCAGGAGACTCTTACAGACCCCTGACTGTAAGACAATAAACTAACACATTAATTTTCTGCTGGTCCCTTAATGGGCAGACACTGGGGATGAATTAGTCTCTCAGAGCCTGCACACTTGTGTGTGAAGGACTAAGTTAAAATTCACTGAGACATACAAAGCTGAATAGAAGATTCTGGACTTGGGACAATATGGCCAACCCTCCCTTCCCAACAGCGTGGCCAGCAGGAAGCCTTTCACCATGGGGCCCATTCCTCTCACTTCCCTGGGGTCTGAGCACAGAGGCCAGAATATTACATACATTGATGCATTCTGTTAGTTTATGGAAATATGATGCATATAACTACGCACAAATCTATTACTTTGTAAAGCATTTTTTATTCACATTTGGTTTACTCAATATATCTTGATTAAAAAGTTTAAAACTTGTGTTTTATAGGCCTTCAGAGACTTTAAAGAATCCACTACCTTTATGAAAAGATTTAACAATGTCTGTAGCTAAAGTTCTTAACATTAGCCTTGCTTCTGTAGGCAGGCACATGGTCAAACAAAAATGGGGGCGAGGGGACCCCAGAAAAGGAAAAATCCAAGCCAATAGACTATGAATTGGTCACGTGGGGCACAATAAGCACCCAGATTGGCAATGTCTGCTTTGGGCCTTCTTTTCTGCCATTTATAGGCATCCAGGGAACCTCCTTGGCTTGTATTTCCTATTTTCTTCCATGTTAGTTAGTTATGGAGTTAGTTAATCTTCTTGTGCTGGAGGTTAAGTCCAATCCCAGCATCACAGGCAGACTGTATTCTATCTATTTGGTGTGTACAGTGTGTATTAATGATGTACCCAACATGGGATTTCCCTGGATGTGATCTTTCTCATCTGTGTGTAACAATACTCATCATAACATGTTAGTTCATTATTGATCTGACACATTTTTAGTATATTTATGTTTTGAAGTGGTTGAGATCATAGGATTCAAAGATTTTTATATTGTTTTTCACTTGCCACTGTATCAATGCACTTTCCACATCTTCCTAATTATCATTGTTGCACATAATATTTTAAGGAGTTATGATATACCATAATATACTGCCCTGCTGTCATGAACATCTCTGTCAAAAAGCCTTTTCTCTTCTATTAATTATTTCCTTAAAATGAATCCCCAGGAGTGGGGTAAGGCAAATGAACATTTATATGGTTCTTGACTTTTATTACTTTCCAAAGGGGTTATATCAATTACCAAGGAAAGGCAGCCCATTTTTCTCAGGGTCTATGTTTAAAGCTACGTAAAATAAATAAAATTCTATATAGAGCCAGAGATCCTAATAATGTGTAAATCATGATCATCAGCCAAAAAGTCCTTGGAGAACCAGCCAGCCCTGGGAGCCAAATGCTAAGTGGTCCAAGAACTCAAAATAATGATGGTAATCATAACAAAAAAAATAGGAGGGAATGATATTTTCCACATTTTCTAAGAGAGTTCATGCTCAATTTTGGCACAGTCAGGAAAACATTAATTGATCAATTAAGTCACTTTATTAAAATATTTAGTTCTTTATAATGAACAACCTTAATTTTTTCTTTTTATGCTTCTTTATTTCTCCAGCTTTATTGAGGTATAATTGACAAACAAAATTATAATATATTTAAACTGATGATTTGGTATATGTATACATTTTAAAAGGATTCTCACATTGATTTAACACATACTTACCTTTCTTTTCTGTGTGAACACTTAAGTTCTACTGTCTTAGCAAATTTCCATTATACAGTACAGTGTTATGAACTATAGTCACCATGATATACATTAGAACTTTAGACCTCATTCATCTAATAAAAGTTTTATCAACCTCTTCCCACTTCCTCCACTCCAACCCCTGGAAATCACCATTCTACTCTCTATCAGTTTGTTTTTTAAAAATTCCACATATAATTGATACCATGCAGTATTTGTCTTTGTCTGACTTATTTCACTTAGCATAATACCCTTCAGGTTCATCCATATTGTTGTAAAGGGCAGGATTTCCCTTTTTTAAAAAGCTGAATAATATTCCTATGCATATTTTCTTATCCATCCATCTGTTGGTGGACACATACATAGGTTGTTTCCATACCTTGGCTATTGTGAATAATGCTGCTTTGAGCATAAGAGTGCATGCAGATATATCTTTGAGATAATGATCTCATATACAGATATTGGATTTCTGGGTCATATTTATTTCTGATTCTGACACTCATATTCAGACAAAACTGGCTTTATTAACAATGATAGCAGCAGTAGCTGTGGTTTATTGTACATTTATTGTATTTCAGACATTGTGCTACATACTTAAAATACATTACTTCATTTCTTCTAAAAATAATCTCTAAGGTGCTGTTGCTACTAGCATTTTATAGACAAAGAAACCATGCTACACCATGAGCTTCCCTGAGGGCAGGAATATTTATTGTGTTAAAGTGCTTAGAAGAGAACATAATAAATGCTCAATAAATAGTGTTGACTGAATGAGGCTCCAAGAGCATAAGCAACTTCTTCAGGGTCATGGGTAACACAGCTGGGATTCAAACCTAGACATACCAGGTCCAGTTCCTAACCCCTCTGCTATGCTGCCTCTTCCAGGGACAGGCAGACACACCCAGTTCTGGCCACTCACCTGACTCCAGCTCCCAGCAAACCACTCCACCTTGCCCATGCAGGGCCCGTTGTCACACGGAGTGGCCTCTGCCGGCCGGTTGTTCCCACAGCCCTCCAGAGGCAGGCTGCTGATGTGGTTGGTCATGCACACCACCGAGCGTGTCCGCACCCCAGCCCCGCACTCCGCCGAACACTGTGAGACAGAAAATGGACACAGTGGAGGGGAGGCCTCTCCCCCCAGGTTCTTAAGCCACATTTAAATGATTCCAAGGAGGTTTCCCCACCAACTGTTTGCCCTGGAAATGTCTGACCACTTCTCACGCACAGCCTGCTCCGTCATGGGACGTAAGTATGGCATACCCCCCGGCCTTAGATTTTCTGGGACAGTCTTCATTCCATTGTTGCGATTGATATGCTTACACTTGTCAATCTATCTGTTCTGGCTTTGGATTTCAAAAATATATTCAGCAGAAGAAGAACGAGAGCATGAAAACATGGGCACACGTCTACATACTGGTAGTGAGTCTGGGCTGGTCTGAGGAAGGAGGAGAGCTGGCGTCTGTCACCTCAACAATGCTGCCTAATAGTAAGGCACATGGTTGTAGTCCCTGAAGGGCACAGCTGTGACGGTGTACAGGAGGCAGCCTGGTATAAAGAGAGCCTGGACTGGGAACCGGTCATATTGGTGTTAATATCACTACCAGTTGTGTGGCCTGGGGCAAGTGACCTGAGCCTCTCACTTCTGGCATGCTTACCTGGACCGTGGGCATGGGAACACAGTCCTGGCAGCATTTCAGGGAATGAATGACATGTAGAGAGCAGGTGCTCAATGAACCCATGCAGTAGGTACTCAATAATGGTATGCGGGGCTTTAAAGGGCCGAGACCTACATCTCTACGCTAAGAGAAACCAAAGCTCACAGGAGTAAGCCTTCACTTAAAGCCACATAACTGTCATTACTACAATCTCACTCTGTCCTCACCCAGGTCACAGTAAACACTCCCCTGAGTCACACCCTGAAGCTCTGAGAGCATTTCCCATCTGCCTTGAAATACTTTGGAATGTTGCCCTTTTTTGCTTCTCATCCTATATTTTCAGGGCATCTTTGTGTGGGTGTCCCATCGATACCTCATGTCCAACAGGTGAAATGATGGGATACCACCTTCATCACCATTCCCATTCCTCCTCTGGGTTTTTCAATGTGTGTTCAAATGCATATCTGGATTCAAAACCGACTGCTCTTTGGCCTCCTGGTTTCCCATATCTTGCCAGCTAGCAGGTCTCATCGATTCTAGTTTAAGCACATTATCTGTCTTGTCCCTGCTGCGGGTAGTTCCCAGCACCCTGACATTCTTCCCCCGGACGGTGGCCACAGCTTCTCGTTCAGCTTCACCAGCTCTTCTTGTCCCTGGGCTGCCAGATGCTGGTATATCCATGTTGAAATCCCTCTGTTGCTGGTCCATTCCTAATGACATTCACTATGGACTGCCCTAAATGGCATTAAAGGTTTCCATTCTTCTAGGCTACACTGGGAACACACTGTTTTATATATATATATATATATATATATATATATATATATATATATATATATATATATATATATCTTTTTTTTTAATTGATATCAGAGAGGAAGGGAGAGGGAGAGAAAGGCCAAAGAAGCATCAATGATGAAAGAGAATCATTGATCGGCTGCCTCCTGCATGCTATACACTGGGGATAGAGCCCACAACCCGGGCATGTGTCCTGACTGGGAATCGAACTGTGATCTCCTGGTTCATAGGTCGATGCTCAACTACTGAACCACATCAGCTGGGCCACAATGATTTTCTTGATAGCGGTTTTCACATTATCACCATATGAACTTCTAAAACAATCATAGGGGCCGAATAGTTAGATGTAATATATGAAAACCACTGACGATCCTGGACAGAGCCAAGGCTCACTGTTCTCTGGCCATATGAAATGTTCCCAGCACCTTGACCCTGCTGTTCCTTCTGTCTGGAGCACTCTTGCCCTTCCCTGGAACACTTAAAATCTGTTCAGGTTCAGCTCAAGTGCCATCTCCTCTGTGAAATCTTCCCTGATTTCCCAGTTAAATATATCCTCCCATCCTCAGAATTCCCATGACATCTTGTGGGAACCATGCCAGAGTCCGCCGGATGCTCAAGGCCAATTGGAGTGTGAAAGGCCTTGTTCAGAGTACGCCAGGTGGCCAAGGCCACTCTGAGCATGGGAATCTTAATCGGGGTGTCCAAGGACTATGCCAGTGCACAGCAAGGTTACTATTTGGCAAGAAGCCTCCTTTGTCTAAGTAGTATAATACATGTTACTGGCCATCCAGTGTGGTAGGGAGAAGCTGCTGAGGCTACTTAGGAGAGCTCAGAGCTCAGGTGCTGCTGCTATGCTAGAGAGGCTCCTGGGACAGAGAGAGCTCAGGTGCTGCTGCTATGTAAGGCTGTGGGTACAGAGGCTACTACTGCTTTGTGGGAAAGATGTATTGTTAGCAGCTGGTGCATGGCTGCTGTATGGGACTATTGTGAACAACATTTTGTTTGATGGCTCCTTATTAGCAATGGCCACTGGCTCCTCCACTAGAGACTCATTTTTATACACCCACAACTTCTCATGGCCTTTCCTTCTACCACCTGGCATCCAAGAAGGTCCATCCCCTAGCAGAGGGGCTCAGCCCCCACAGTTAGTGTAGTAGGGCTGGTTTCACAAGAATAAGTGGACTCAGTGCAGCTGTGCTCTGACACATCTGTATTCTTCTGTCATCCTTTGTATTATGGTTATTTGTGTCCATTTCTTTTTCATTATAGAAGTAGGCTCAGTGCCTACATCACCTTTATTTCGTTCTTAGTGAGCACCTTACTTATGGGCGAATCCCTGAATATCGGCTGAATAAATAAATATGGTGGAGGTCCTCCCCCGCTCATTTTTCTCCTCTCATCAGCACCTTCCAATTCTGAAAGTGCCTTTACATGATGATGAAAGCCCTTCTAGGGATTTCTGCTGGGTCTTTTCTTAAAAATAGAGTCAATGTTTGGTTTCTACCAATATTATCATCTTAAAAGTAAATAAAAGCAATATAACTTTAAATAAAATTTGAGAAAAGGAAGAAAAATATTAACAGCCTAATTTCTTTATCAAAAATCCTACTTTTGTTTTTGTAACTTGCTGTCTAATCTTGTAAAATCATAACCCAGGATGAGTATCAAACATTTACATGATCACTGACTGCTAAGCTGTGTCTGACTCCTCAGGGAGGGGACTCTGGAGCTAAGAACTCAGAGCTGGTTAGAATATGCCCCAAAATATGCTACTTTGGCCTATTGATTATTCTGAGCTCATGGCAATGAAGAAACAGCAGATGCAGGAGGTGCTCTCTGCCCTCCCCTTCCCGGCCTGGAAGCAGGGCATACATTCCCCTGAGAAAGGTGCCCTCCCAGTTCCAGGAAGAAGAGAACATTCTTATGGATGATGGGGAATCAAGATGAGTTTGTGTAAACAAACTTTACTATAACCCTTATCCCCCATTAGTTTCCCCCATATATTTCTTAGCCATTTTCCTACAATTTACTATTCCCAGAAGCCCAAACCCCTTTCCTTTGTCTAGTCACTTCACAACTTATCACCCTTTGTTAAGATGTTACATAATCCCTCAAGTCTAACTGCTTCTCTGGGGTTTTCATTTCTTTCCTATGAAGTCCCCTTCTCCCTATCCCCCACGCCATATAAAAACAATAACATCAGATACGATTTGTATGCTTTTCTCCGGTGAATCTGGTCACTGTCGGCTTAATCTGCAGCCCTCCGCTAAAGAACCTAAGAGAGTAAAGGAAAAGTTGTTTCCCCTTACAGGTTCACAAATGCTTTTCACGATTTTCATTTTAACTGCGTTGTTATTAGAAATCTGCTTTCCAAACTAAGTAATCTTGGAAAAACCACATGCACCTTGGGAAAGTTTCCCCATATCCCTGTGCACTTAATGTAAAAGAATAATGTTAAGGACCAAGTCAATGCCCTGTGAGAGAACATCACAAGGATGAGCCCTGCGAAGGCTGCAGTGAAAAGCACAACCAATTTATATGTAAAAGGAGCTACGACACAGAGCCTGGCCAGGGAAGCCTAGCAGTAGAAATGAGGGGAAGGCGGGGTCCCCTCCAGGCAGCAGAGACTAACCTTCAAAGTGAGGCACCAAAACACCCCCATGCACTGTCCCTGAAGGATGTGCCTAAAAGAAGGACCAAGTCCACTTCAGAAAAGAACCTGACTCTGAAATGGACTTCTGGACAGATAAAGCACAGAGACACATGAAATTCCTAGGCAACCCTCTGGTAAGGATTGTCTCCTCACCCCAGCAACAGCTAAATGCTAAACTTGGCTGAGTGGCCCCGGAGGGACTATACGGTTCTAATGACTATTCCTGAACTTCAGTTTTATGCATCATCCTTCACAATTTAAATAACTCAATATCTTTACTTATTTCTTCTCTTGGAAAACATACTTAGAAATTAGGTGCTAGAAAATTGAGGCTGGTGGACTTTCTAAAAGACTTTTTTCTCTGTTGTGATTAAAAATTGCACAAATTTTTAAACCTGCCATTGATTTGCAGAACTAAAAAGTAAATGAAGCCTGAATCTAATAAGCCCCGCCCTCAATTAAAAGTTCTTCAGCTACTTTTAATATCCATATATGCGTAACCCATGGACACAGGCAATAGTGTGGTGAAGGCCTGGGTGGAGGCTGGTGCGGGCTGGAGGGGGTTAATAGGGAGAAAGGGGAACAGTTGTAATACTTTCAACAATAAAAATAAAGTTTTAAAAAGTAGCTGCAAGGATGTTTTTAAGGTGAGTCATCAAGTCAGACAAACTATACATATTACCCTAGACCAGTGGTCGGCAAACTCATTAGTCAACAGAGCCAAATATCAACAGTACAACGATTAAAATTTCTTTTGAGAGCCAAATTTTTTAAACTTAAACTATATAGGTAGGTACATTGTTATTAACTTAATTAGGGTACTCCTAAGGCTTAGGAAGAGCCACACTCAAGGGGCCAAAGAGCCACATGTGGCTTGCAAGCCGCAGTTTGCCAACCATGGCCCTAGACGTTTAAGAGAAGGTTCAGATTGAGTTTACAACCTTGATTTATTTAGGCAGAGACCAATTAATTTTAAATCGGACAACAGGCTACTTTTGGTATTCTGGTGCCAATTTCAATGTGTGGGGTGTGCAGGAGGCAACCAATCAATGATTCTCTCTAATCATTAATGTTTCTTTCTCTCTCACTCTCCCTTCCTCTCTGAAATCAATAAAAAAAAAGAATATTTACAGAAATATTATTAACAATAGTGAAAAAATTAGCAAAAAATATCCTTAATCATTTAGAAATAGGGCATTATTAGTTCAATTATAATAACCATATAATATCTTATTCTAATTAAAAAACATGCTTTTAAGGTTTTTAATCCCATTAAGATGTTTACATTACAAAAGTGAAAAAAATCAGGTTAACAAATTATACATATATTATTATATCCTTAAAATATATATATGAATACAAAATACTATGTATGCAAAGTATGTATGACTTGAAAAAAGCTTGTCAGTCTCGCTTAAAAATCTTAAATTGTTAGATTGAAGAGATTATAGGTATACTTTGAGATTCTTTTCATATTCTTTATAATAGTTTATATTACTGTATGAGCAGAAAAATGAACTATTTTCAAAAACATTTTTCCAATATAAAAAGAAGGCCCAGTAGCATTGTTTTCATTAATTTGCTTATACACTAAATTGGGCAGGTTTATTGTGAGTACAAACAGATTCTGGCTAGAAATCTGGAAAGACAAAATCAGTTGGAGGAAGTAGGAATGTTCAGCCTGGAGAAAGAGTGGGAGGGGCTCCCCGCACTTGTGATCTGCACTGTAAGGACAGTGCACACACGCACTTCTGACAGGGCATGCTGGGAGCTGGCAAGAAACACTTGGGTTCAATGTGGAAGGAAACCTGACACTGGGTTGTACAAGAAGCAGATGCCATTGGTTCAACACACAGGGAATTTCTGACAAAGGGATCAGACTTATGTCAGGGACGCTGTCAAGGGCTCCTTATGCTGCAAGGGAGGTGCTCAAAGTGACCCCTGACACCTCTGAGCACTGCTTCCCCAAGGCCAGGAGCCATGTGCTTGCTGGGAGGGGAAGTAGGCGGGGGGGGGGGGGGGGGTACGCAAACAGAACCCTGCGAGCTCTGCTGGACTCAGCCTTAGGGGAAGAGGTCTGAGTCAATGGACACCTTTGGTTAGCACCTTCCTGATGGCTAATTTGGTGTGTTAGAGTCCAGGGCTGGGCCTGGAGGCACAGTGAGCTGCTCACCTTAAGGGCTCAGTGCTTTCCCTAAAGGCCCTCTCTCTCTGGGGACTGTCTTGGGGCTAAGGGGCAGGGGCTGTTTGCCACGAGGTGTCGGAAAACCATGAGGAGATAAACCACCTGATGGGAATCTCTGGGGGGCTCTCTGAATGTGGAGTGAAGGCTGCATTTACAGGTTTGTTCTTCCTTTCCTTCTGAGCAGCACCCCCACCCCCCACCCCCGGCACAATAAAACAATTGTGCTGAGAGGGAGGCTGTGCAGGAAACCCATGTGAACACCTGCAGGGTGATGTCCAGAATACTCAGCAACTGGTCCATAGTGAGCACTGACCAGTCAGAGTGGATGCTGACCAGCTGAAATCAACCAACAGGGTGGGTGGCCCCCATCCTCTGATGTGCCCCTTACTCCTCCCAGCTGGACATACTGCACTGTCTGTGGCTCACATGACATGGGGGGGAAGGCTTGGGAGGTCAGGAGTGCCTCCTAAGACCTGCAGCCTTGGCACTATCGGGAGCGCCTTAGAAATGCAGGATCCGGGCCAGCCCGCCCCTGCAGACCAGATTCTGTGTAACAAGGTGCCCAGTGATCCAGAGGCACCGATACTTTGAAGCACCGTGGAGATTCATAGGATAGAAACCCTGCAGTAGTTCATTTATGGGCCTTTCCCCCAGAGTCAGAAATTACCCTTGGGATTCTGGGCTAGTAATTCATCTTTGTATGGTTTTGGGGGCACCTTGTGACACCCGCTCCCACCCTTAGCCCAGCAGCCTCCACGGTCCCCCCGCCCCCCCTCCAGAAACCTCACTCCGCACCACACTCACCCTCTCACCCCACTCGGTGAGGAACCAGCTCCTCGCACAGGGCCCCATGTCGCAGTTCTCAACGTCATTGGGCCGGAGCTTCATGTTGCATTCCTCGTCGTCAACCACGTCCCCGATGTTGCTCACACACTTCACGTCCCGGGTCCTCTGCCCCACTCCACAGGGCACAGAGCACTGCAACACAGCAAGCTGTCAGCGGGCGGGCAGCATCAGCTCGGGCGCCTTCTTGTCACCTGCCCTCTAAACAGAGGGCTGGGGAGACTCCCCGAGTTGCTAGGTCCCCCGCATGCAATGCTACCTCAGGAGAATCCCAGCCCTGATCATTTCACAGGCCCTTTCGCTAAGGACTTCTTTGATATCTTGCCTACTCTGTCCATCTGAGCCCCTGTTCTGTCATCTAGAGAATGGGAGAGAACATGGGGAGGAAACGACTCTACCAGAATTTGCCAACCTTCCCTCCACCATGACGAGCTTTTGCACATGGCTCCCCTGGGCTCCCCTGGGCTCCCCTGGGCTCTCCAGTCGAGTCGGCTGTGGTGACACGCTGGCTTTAACTCTATCGAGCTATGGCACATGCTACGGTTTATAAAGGTGGCCTCCCAGAGCCCGCGGACAGGTTCTCTCCTGGGGGACTCAGGGTCCTTCCAAGTCAGGTCTTGGAGGGGGAGGCAGGAGGGAAGTGTGGGCCTTGGAGGAGGTGCTCCAGAGCAGGGCCCCCCTCCACGTACCGAGGTCCAGTCCGTCCGGATCTGCCACTCACTGCAGATCTTGAGCTGGCAGGTGCTGGTGGTCTCGGGCTTCTCCAGGTGCTGGCAGCGGTAGGGCTGCACCGTCAGGCTTCGGTTGGCATACACCTGGCGGCACAGAACCTGGCGATGCTGCATGCCCAGGCCGCAGGTTTTGCTGCACTCAGACCACTCCCCGATGTCCCAGCTGGCTCAGGAAGGAGAGAGGGGCAGGGACAGATCACTTCAGTCAACAGGAAGAGGCAGGAGCTGAGCTGACTTACACAGAACCATCAGAATCCTCGTGGGTGACCCGACTCCCAGGGCATTGCTTACCAGTCTACCTACGGGCCACCGACTCTGCAGAGAAATGAGGTTTGTCCCACATGCTATTTGCCAGCGAGTATATACAACGTAAGAAAATGGAGAAGGTACAAAGTTATCTGGTAGAAAACCCCACATAAACAAACCCCAAAGCTAGTTTCATTACCCTGTAGGACATTAACCCATTTTGGAACTAACTTAGAAATCTGAGTCCAGCATTCTTTATTTTTCATGAACTATTTATGCATCAGTCTCATATTTCCTCCTTGTGCCACCCTGCTCATCAGGTGTTCAGATGAGAATATGTTTTTATTACTTTGAGAATTAAGTTTCGACACCTTTTGGGCCCTTTCCCCATGTTCTCCTGAAAGTGTCCCATGTGTCATTCAGGAACCAGTCCAAGGCCTGTCTGAGGGGCTCTTTCTGGTCTCTCCAGGCAGATGTGGTGTGCCGTTCATTATTCTCTCTGCACACAGCTCTCCTCCGGCACTGACTACACTGGATTGTAGTTCTTTGTTTCTCTCTGTTTTCCTTGTCAGGCGAAACCCTAATGGCTCTAATTCCCAAAATAGTGGGCTCCTGGGCGTGTGCTGACCTGCTAAAGGCTACAGGCTCCTGTGTCGATCCTGAAAGACAGGTGCTCTTGCTAAACAGACTGCATCTTATGCAAAGATCAAGTCTCATGTTTCTAAATCAGATGCAGACTGATTTAAAAATGAGATTATATCTGCTACCAAGGTCCTACGCACAAGCAACCAGAAGTGACGTGATAATGGGGATGGAAGCAGAGAGGGCGTCTTACAAGGCCGGGCAAGGGAAGATGCTGCAGGGCTCCTCCTCGGGGGTTGGCTTCGTGCTGGAGTCACAGTAGCTCTCGGGAACCTCTTCATGAGTGTTTCTGTGCACACAGCGGAAAACGGGGTACTGCGATCCTAGAAGGACAAGGACAACGTCTGAAGGGCAGTGCGCACACCTGAGTGCTGGTCTGTGGTGGAGATGCACCAAGACCCAAGTGCTGATGGAGAGGCCACAGAAACAGAACAATCCACGCGCACATTCCCACGCAAGGGCTCTGCTCAGCATTGTGGATGCAGAGGAGAGTAGGAATCCTTCTTGCCCTCAAAGAGCTTACAGTCTATTGGTGAACATGGTTTGAAACGCTTAAAGGCAGATATAAACCAATTTCCATAATAGTTTTTTATATCACTGTGCTGGGGAGAGATTATAAAATAAGCACAAACAATAACTTCTTGAAGGTTTTCTGGAGACATCAAAGCGAAAGGGCCCGAGAGGGCTCCAGCTGCATTCCAGAGAAAGGGTTCGGTGGAGAACCTGTTTGCACCCGGGTCTTGAAGGGAGGGAGCTATCCAAGTCGCTGAGCTAGAACAAAAATGCCCGACAAACTGGCCTGCAAGCACCAGATATGTTTAAGAGATAGTTAGGCTGGAGCAGAGAAATAAGAAGATTCAGGAAAGACTAGAAGCACAGCTGGCTTCCCCTATGTAAAGCATTTGACACTTTAATGTCCTGGTCCAGTGGTATTTTAGTTATTTAAGAGTATATGTCTGCTTCCATGAGACAGTGAGCTTCTGAGGGACAGCACTAGTTCTGGGCATCTCTGTATCCCCAGTACCCAGCAGAGTAGTAGGTGTCCAATGGAAGTTTGTTGAATGAATATTTGTTAGTGGTCTAATATTTATTTTTACTACTTTGCTTAAAAAATCATACTAACTGCCTCAGATTTTTGTATTAAAAACACACATATACACAGCCTAGTTTCATTGTCTTAAAATTTATAAATCTATTTTTGGGAAAAAAGAATTTAAGTGGAATTTCTAGCTCTCAAAACAACTAAAAACCTGCCAATTCGCAATTCTGCCTTCCTCTCCTTGCTACCCCCTGGTGGCAGCACTGAAGTATCAAGAGGAAAGTTTACAAAGTGAGAAATGTGACCAGCTGAACCTGCACCCCAACTGCTGGGAGGGTAGGAGGCGTCTCACAAAGAGCTGACCACCCCCCAGGTGAGGCCACCACGCAGGTCCTGCCCCCAGAGCACCAGCCTTATTCTATAGCTCGGTCTTGGGGTCTCGGCTCTGCTGCGAATGGCCAGGCATTTACAGTTTCTGAACTGCCAGCTTGCTACAATTTTAATTGTAGTTAGAGGAATAATTTTTAATATGTGTCTCAATATTTCATCAGCCATGAGCAGTGGTTCACTGCCTCTTTAAGCTGGTCTTGTGTGACACTGAGCCAGAGGGTAGTTTTGTAAAAAACTGGACAGTTTGTAAGACAGTTTTGAATCTGAAACACACACTTGCTTAAAGTACTCTGGCAGTAAAAATTTACAATGTGGCTATAACTTGAGACCATTATTTATAATAACATTCCAATTAAGCATCGTTATTAGCTGAGCAAAAAGCAGTACTGATTGTAAAATTAATAGGAAGCAAAAACTTTTGCGGAATTAAGTTTGGTCCAGCGGTATATCTGCTTCCATTTAAGAAGGATCTTCAATTAAAGTGAACAAACATTAAGCACGTTGTTCTCAGTTAAAAGGTGCATAGATTCAGTGCATGGCTTTAGGGGTGTCCATTGGGACTCAGCTATTAAGGGATTAAGTAAAAGTCTTATTTTTTAGCCTATCCCTTTTCCTTCAGACCACTTGAATTTTACTTTTCTTTTTCTTTTCTTTTTTTAAAAAATTAAATCTTTATTGTTCAGATTATTACATTTGTTCCTCTTTTTTTCTCCCCATAACTCCCCTCCTTCCAGTTCCCACCCCACCGTCCACCCTCACTCCCCACCCACTGTCCTCATCCATAGGTGCACGATTTTTGTCCAGTCTCTTCCCGCATCTCCCACACCCCTTTCCCCCCCAAGAATAGTCAGTCCATTCCCTTTCTATGCCCCTGATTCTATTATAATCATCAGTTCATTCTGTTCATCAGATTATTTATTCACTTGATTCTTAGATTCACTTGTTGATAGATGCATATTTGTTGTTCATAATTTGTATCTTTACCTTTTTCTTCTTCTTCCTCCTCTTAAAGGATACCTTTCAGCATTTCATATAATACTGGTTTGGTGGTGATGAACTCCTTTAGCTTTTCCTTATCTGTGAAGCTCTTTATCTGACCTTCAATTCTGAATGATAGCTTTGCTGGATAATGTAATCTTGGTTGGTTGTAGGTTCTTGGTATTCATCACTTTGAGTATTTCTTGCCACTCCCTTCTGGCCTGCAAAGTTTCTGTTGAGAAATCAGCTGACAGTCGTATGGGTATTCCCTTGTAGGTAACTGACTGTCTTTCTCTTGCTGCTTTTAATATTCTCTCTTTGTCTTTTGCCCTTGGCATTTTAATTATGATGTGTCTTGGTGTGGTCCTCTTTGGATTTCTTTTGTTTGGGGTTCTCTGTGCTTCCTGGACTTGTAAGTCTATTTCTTTCACCAGGTAGGGGAAGTTTTCTGTCATTATTTCTTCAAATAGGTTTTCAATATCTTGCTCTCTCTCATCTTCTGGCACCCCTATAATTCGGATGTTGGTACGCTTGAAGCTGTCCCAGAGGCTCCTTACACTATCTTCGTATTTTCGGATTCTTTTTTCATTTTGCTTTTCTGGTTGGGTGTTTTTTGCTTCTTCGCATTTCAAATCTTTGACTTGATTCTTGCGGTCCTCTGGTCTGCTGTTGGGAGTCTGTATAATCTTTATTTCAGTCAGCGTATGCTTAATTTCTAGTTGGTTCTTTATCACAACATCGAGGGTCTCATTAGGTTTCTTGAGGATCTCACTATATTTATCGGTGGTCTCACCAGTCTTTTCGAGGGCCTTACTAAATTTATCGGCAGTCTCACCAGTCTTTTTGAGGGCCTTACTAAATTTATCAGTGGCTTCTAGACAGTTCTTGAGAGACCTTAAAAGTGTGGTTTTATATCCTCTATAACTCTATATCCTCCATTTCTGTCATTTCTGTCCTGTTTCTTTGTCTCTGCATTTTTTATGCTTTCTTGGTGCACCCCCTTGTGGTCTTTGTGCGCAGTCTTGTTGTAGTTAAGCCTTGATTGTTGTAGGTAACACTGGGGGGGATTTGACCTCCAGGCCAACTGGCTATGAGAATCAGCTGTGTCTGCAGTGGGAGAACTTCTGTCCTCTAGGGAGGTGCTAATCTAGCCTTTGCCTAAGGCTATCCCGCAAATGCCTCTGTGCAAGGCTTGGGCAGGGTCGGTCCCAGGGGATCAACAGGGCGGGCGGGGCGAGCAGTTATGGCTGCTCTCAGTCCCATCCCCAGAGGCTCTGCCTCACAGAGTCCTAGCAACCGCTGCAAACCTCAGAGAGAAAGCTGCCCTCGAGTTCTGACCGATGCCAGACAGCCCCGCTTCTCCCGTTTGAGTCTGGGTCCCCAGAGACTCGCCCGGAACTGGAGCTCAGAGCCTGAGACTCCCTCCCAATTGAAATAGACAACCATGCCCTCAGCCGCCAGCCCGCTCTGCACACACCTCCGCACCTTTGTATTTTCCACACTGCGCCTCCTCTGAGCCTCGGTATGCCTTTCTCTTTCCTTCTAGTTGTAGAATTTCCCCTCAGCCAGCCTTCCTGTGTTTCTGGGTGATGTCCATTCCGTCTTTTAGTTGTATTTTCAAAGTGGTTGTGCAAGGCAGCAATCTCCGGTGTTTACCTATGCCGCCATCTTGGTTTCTCCTCTGAATTTTACTTTTCTACTTACAAGTTTGTGGGTTGGAAATAGCAACTACCCCAACCACTTGGCATTCAAGTGAGAGGGAGATTTGGTATTTCTAGGGAAAAGGATATGGACTACCATAGGAATGCTCTGTGTCTTGCAAAGAGGTGTCCTGCTTGGGCTGTTTGCCCATGGCCTCTGCTTGCCCTCTCCCACCATCTCATCACCTTTACAGTACACTTGTCCATGGTACAGCTCCAACGTTTAGCTGAGGAAATAAAGTTGGAGGCTCTCCCTGTTTCTCTGATGTTGAGAAAATACCAGATCTATAATTCTTGACTCCAGTGACCACGATGGTTTCTTTCTTTGGGTCAATGTTGATCTCTGCAGAAAGGGAGAAACCTGGCCATCTCTTCACTGTTCCAGCATGCCATTCAGCAGGAACAGGGTGGTGAGGTCAGGTGCTGACTGGGCTTCAGGCAGCAGGAAGAACCTGGGATCAGTTTGGTTGGGTTATATGTTGGATGTATTGATCAAAACAGAAGTACATTAAGTTGGACAGGGCACTGTACCACAGGCAGAGGTCAGTAAGGCATTATGGAGAGATGGACAAAATAAGGAGCAAGAAGAAAATAAATAAGTCCAGTGTGGAACTCCACGTACCAACCAATCAGGCCAAGAGTTTGACCAGATAGAGGTCTTACCAATGACTGAACGGAGTACAGGCCACACCTGAATACCCGTGACAGGGCCCCTTCTGCGATGATGATGTCATGATGCTGACATTTACAGAAAGAGAAATTTTAACGTGACGGCATAGAAATGTGCGAGGGGCTGGAGAAGAGCTTGGGAGAGGGTCAGTGTGGGGACAAACGATGACGTGACAAGGGGAATGGGCTTGGGTTGCCCAGAAAAGAGCCGGACAGCACTGGCAGGCTCAGACTTTCTTGTCACGACACTCTTACCACCACCGCTGACATCCGTGAGATGAGCTAAGCGTTTGGTGCATTCACAGGGCCTCACCTGCCCTTCACCTTTGACTGAGGCTTTTGATGTCTGGGAGCAAACCTTCAAGGGAGCAAAGGAGGGCCATCCATGGGCTACTGCCATTTGTCACATGGGAGAAAAAAGGGGGCTGGGGGAGGCAAGAAGGGAGTGTTAGAGGAATAAGACATCTCTGTTTTTCTTCTATTTCCAAGGCACTTCTTCAGCAGCTCTTTGGCCTGAGAATCAGTGCAGTTTACCAGGATAAAGAGAATGAGTGAGCATGTCATGTTAGGCACTGAGTGTGTAGGTGAAGTGTGTGTGTCCCCACAATGCAAAGGAGAAAGACTATCTCAGAGCATGAATAAAAATAATATGGAGCCCTAACTGGTTTGGCTCAGTGGATAGAGTGTCAGCCTGCGGACTGAAGGGTCCCAGGTTCAATCCCAGTCAAGGGCATGTACCTTGGTTGCAGGTACATCCCCAGCAGGGGGTGTGTAGGAGACAGCTGATCGGTGTTCCTCTCTCATCGATGTTTCTAACTCTCTCTCCCCCTTCCTCTCTGTAAAAAAATCAATAAAATATATTAAAAATAATAATAATGATAATATGGAAATCTAGAGAAAGAGCTTCTTCAGCTTTGAATACATAAATCCACATTCTTTATGTTACTGATAGAACATGGGCAAAGGCAATAACAGATTTGTATATCCAGGATGTAATGAAGATGTAAATGTTACCCTTATATCTTTTCTAATAGCTGATATATAGATATAGAACCATTCATTCAAGAAGCACTTGAGGAGCACCTACTGTGTGCTTGGTATGATACCAGCTGTAGAGGTTGCAAAGTGTACACTCATGGAGACAGCCAAGCCAAGCAGAGCTGGGACAAAAAGATTGTGTCCCAAATTGCCGTGGGGTCCAGGGGAGAAGTGCCAACCTCTGCCTTACAGAATCAGGCAGGCTTCACAGAGGAGGTGATGTCCGAGCTAGATGGTGAAGTGCAAGCAGGAGAGTGCCCGCCTGATACCAGAGAACAGTAAGGGTGGTAGATTTTATTTCAGCGTGAACCATGAAGTGGTGTTGAGGGGGGCAAGATAAGCAGAACCTTTAGATGCAGGTCCCAGCATCACATCTGGCACAGAACAGACGGGACCTGCCGAATGGCCTCCTGGATGAGTAAGTGGCATCATCTGGTGAACAGGCTGTGTGAGCAGCATGAGGGTGAGCTGGCTAACGGCACATGCTTTTGTCCTCATCCTTTATGTCCACCAAGCAATGTCTGACCATCTCCAGAGAAGGCCGCATCTCACCCTCCTGGGCGGGCTGGGCCAGGTGATTTTTAAAGACATGAAATGGAGGAGAATCTACACATGCCACCCTCGATGTAAAACCACATGACAACCATTTTTATCTTTTTTATAACTTTCCCTTGTTTCCACCTGGTTCTGAGTGTATCTGGTTCCTGCAACAGGCATCACACCATAACCCAAATGGCAGACTATTTCAGTAAAAATACATTTTGATCTTGGGTTCCTGTGTCAATTAACTTTCATACTGCTTACCTCTATCGTGTCATGGTCCTCGCCAAAAAGGTTTTGGCCTCGATGTGTAATTATCTCTAGCTTTCTGTCTCCCTTTGCCAATTCTAACCTATATATTTTTCATTGTAATAAGTTGTAACCATGAGCACAGCAGCTTTCCTGTCTTGTAAGTCCAACCTGAGGGTGATCTTGGAGGCCCCCCCACATAACCTCACACTAGTGAGCCATTGCAGGGCAGGCTCATGTCCCTGCCCCTCCTTGCCCCTCCCTGCCCCCTGCCCACTGCCACCCCAACACACACACACACACCTGTCTCCTGGTTCACAGAGGCCCTGCCAGCCCACACCTCACCTTTCCCACAGGTCGTGGAGCACTCCGTGGTCCCAAGCTGTTTCCAGTTGTGATCTCGGCTTCGTCGTGGGGGCTGTGGTGCTGGTAGCACCAAATTGCCCGGCCAGTGGGAAGAAAATCTATCTGGATGCCTGGCTGAGAAGGTCTGCGCAGATTCTGAGGTGAATATTTCTGGCGCCCCACCGTGCAAGCCTTCCTTCTCCTCAGTCCGTTCCTTCTCTTCTCCCGCCTCCTGACTCCTCCCCTCCGGGAGCAGCTGGCCATGGAAGGGCTCCCCTGGGAGAGGCCAGGGCCACACAGAAGGAAGTTCAGTTTGGAGGGTGAGTCGTAAAGAGGAAACTGCTTCAACATTTGAAATCAGGTAGCATGAGATCATTTCTAATTCATAGCACATATATTTAAAATAAGCAGACACAAATTTCCCTAATGTTTAAAACATTATTAAAAACAATAAGAAAAAGATGAACATCCAAGTAGAAAAGGTAGGCAAGGGCCAGGGAGAGACAATTTACTAAAAATGAAATACAAGCAGCCAAAAGTTCTCAACTTCACTCATAATTAAAGAACTACAGGTGAAAATAAGAACAACAACAAATCTATTTGCCTAACAATAAAGATTAGAGACCTTGGAAACCCTTAATCCCTACACTCCTTGTTGAAGTTTCCTGAAAACACGTTCTCATACACTGTAAAAGAGTCTGCAAATAAGATGCAAATTTTGGAGAGCAATTTGGCAACATTTATCCAAGCACATATTAGTTTATTACAAAATAAGGAGGCAAATTCTACAGTTACTGTCAAATCAAGTTAAAACATAGGGCTTTCTTTGTCTCTTCACCAGCACATTTTTATCTAGTTGGCTACTTACAATACTTTGTGGTTTAAAATATGACATGCAAATTAAAAGAACAGAGTCAAAACCAGGCATATTGATATAAATGAGACTGTCCAAGATGTTATCAGCAAAAAACACTTTTGAGTACTTTGTATGTACTGGGCACAAGGATTGATGCCTAATTTATTAAATTCCCTCCCTGCTGCCCCCCCTCAAAACAAAACTTTTGAGTGTAGTTTTTCCCTTTCTGCTTTTAGACAGGAAATGTGTTCAGAGACGTTACTGACTTGCCGGAGGACGCACAGCAGGAAAGTGGCAGAGTTGGATTCAGGCTCTGTCCTCCTGACTCAGCTGATATGGAGGATGAAACCTGGTCCAGAATGCCCTTCCTCACCAACTTTTTACAAATGACCCCTTCTGGGCCCGCCCTGTCCCAGGCCACGGATCCCAGAACTCCATGGTACGTGTTAGGTGAAACCCATTAGACTTGTTATCAATGATCAATATCCTATATGTTCTCAAGTAGTCTGTCCAGTTGCCCTTGTAAGCCACCATTAATAGTTTGCCACCTGGGCTTGGTTCTCAGACTGTGTATTGCTCCTGGAAATGGTTTAAAAATTCTGTCGGGTTAGCTATGCTAACCTGGAGTTTGAACAACACTTGGACCCTATGTGTCTGACGTACTCCAGGCTGTTGTTTCCCAGTGGCCGGTGACATCAGGTAACCTTATTATCTGATTGGCAGCCCAGAAAAGGATGGATGTGCCAGGTCTCGCACCTGTCCCCTCTCTCTGTAGGACAGGCATTGGGCCAGGTAGCCTCTAGACCAGTGATGGTGAACTTTTTGAGCTCGGCGTGTCAGCATTTTGAAAAACCCTAACTTAACTCTGGTGCTGTGTCACATACAGAAATTTTTTGATATTTGCAACCATAGTAAAACAAAGACTTATATTTTTGATATTTATTTTATATATTTAAGTGCCATTTAACAAAGAAAAATCAACCAAAAAAATGAGTTCGCATGTCACCTCTGATAACCAGGTTATTTGGGATTTTGAGATGGAGAGATTATCCTGGTTATTTGCGTGTCATAGGTTCGCCATCACTGCTTTCGGCAGTATAACAAGCACAGGGCTAGTCACACAGACAGGGCTGAGGTCACTGTGGGATCTGGGTAAGAACCTCATCTCTCTAAGCTTTCAGTTCCTTACTTTTAAAATGAGGCTGATAACAGTACTTTCCTCTGAGCACTATGGTGAACACTGGATGACTAATTTATGTGAAGGGATCAGCAGTGTCCAGCACACAGCAAGGACCCAGTGTGTGCGAGCAACTATCATCATAAATATTTCTGCAGACCTTCCTGTTTGAAAGATGGAAAAGACAGTCTCTCCTACAGCCTCGGAGGGGACATGGCAACGATATGTTGGTTTTGGCCCAGCAAACCCATGTTGACCTTCTGACTGTTAGAACAGTAAAGGAGTAAATCTGTTGTTTTGAGCCACTAAGCCTGAGGCGATTTATTATGGCAACAACCAGAAACCAGTATAAGGCATTTCAAAATGAGGACCTGGAGAGAAAGACCCAGGATGTTCACTTGTTTTTGAATCAGCAAAGGCTCAGATAAATGGCGACATCTGGGCCACTGACTCTGAAGTATGCGTCCCTGGTTTTTCTCTGTGCTGAGTTAAAGACAGAGGGCAGCTGCACAAGAAGAAGAAGGAAGGGGCTTTAAAAGGAAATGCCCCAACTTTCAGCCTTAGCCTGCATCCCCCTGTCTTGGTATGCCGGGTGCCCCTCTCCGCTGAGCCCTCCTGCACCCTGCCCGGCTCCCGTCCTGTCCCCGGGGGCTATCAGTTGGCTAATACTCCCATGGGTCACATGAGACAGATGAGGAATTCGATGCTCCCTGGGTGACATCAACAAGCCAGGTATTGATGTCTGGGGATTGCGGAAACGGATGAACACGCTTGTTGGCTACGATCTGGTTCCAGAACCCAAAATCACTGATACTGCTTTGCGTGCATGCAGACGGTTATTTTGCTAGTGCTGTTCGCATCCTAGAGGTTGTTAAGGACAAAGCAGGACCACATAAGAAAACCTACCCTATGTCATCCAAGAACTTAGACCAACTTTAAATGAACTGGGAATCTCCACTCCAGAGGAACTGGGCCTCGACAAAGTATAAACCTTAGCAATGGGCTTCCCAAGGATTTACTGATGATACGACTTGAATGTAAATAATCACCTGGAAATACTGATGATAACATACTACCTTATTTGGACAAGTCTTCCGTTACTGAGTACCAAACCATGTAATGGTAACTTGAACTTTAATAAAAAGGAAATGAGATTGAACTGAAATTAAAAATAAAAATAAATAAAGAGAAATGACCCGAGTGCTTGGCAGAAAAACAAGGGATTTTACCTGGTCTCCTGTGAGGTGGCACTTGTGGGCTGATGGCATTGGTCCCCATGATAACGTACTCATAGTGGACTCCTGGGTTAGGCTGCTGGTGTATCATCTGACAACACAAAAGTCCGTGTCACTGGGCTGGCACGCACATCCATGTCCCCCTGACTTTGGGTTCAGTGGAACAAGTGACAGGATCTATAAATGAGGGGGTTGATTCACATCTAATAATATTAGTGAACCTGTGACAGATTAAACAAATAGCTATGAAAGCTATTTCCAGATGGCTTTTTGTTATTTGCTTTAGAAGAAGGAAAAACTTAAAAGAAAACTAGGCTGAAAGTGAACATTTTATAAATTCCAAATAGGAAGATGGGAGCAATGATTGGAACCTTTTTGTTGGCTCCCAACCATCCTATACCAGGGCTTAGATTTTGCTTAGTGCTCTCAAAGTGTCCAGGCAGATACGTGTTGACACGACACAGAACCTGTTTGGACACTAGGTGGCGAGAGAGTCGAGCAAAGGGCCCACCTCTGGCAGAGCCAGCTGGATCCTTTAGGTTCTTTCAACATTTTCTACGTGGCCAGTGAGGCTGGCTCAGGAAAGGCCTGCCCCCACCCTCTTCCTCTTTGACTCTTGGATTCCTCCACTTCTCATCCATAGAAAGCTCCAGACCACAAAGAGATGGGGTCAGGAAAACAGGTCTAAGGGAAGTAACTGTCCCTAGGTCCTATTGTCTTAGGAACTGATGACAAAAGTAGAACAGCAAACAGGAAGCTGCATAGGGCTGTGGAGGTCACAGTGAGACTTCTCTGGGGCAAAAGAAAAAATAAATCAGCATGGCCCAGCAGAATGAACCCCTCTCTATTGGTTCTGGGGCACAAACGCCCATGGCTTTCCTGGCGGGCAGCAGGGTGATGGGCTCAGTTCACCAGCGGAACGAGGATTTACTGAGTAAATTGAGTCAGGTAAGGAGACACTCCACATCCTGGTATTTCGGTCTTTATTGCTTCATACAGCGGCTCTCTTGTTGACCAGCTGTCTAATCTAGATCAAGTCCCTTAATCTCAGTTTTTTATTTCTTCATCTGGAGAAGAAGTTGGAATCACAGATGATCTCAAGTCTTTTCGGCTTCAAGCAGTTTGGTTCCTGAACATGTCTATTATGTCCATTTATGCCTTTAACTCTTATGTCTTCCCTGCATGTGAAACGAGGCCTCCCTTTTATAAATCACCCAATGGACTTCATACACTCAGAAACCATGGTGGTGCACACAGAGCCCTGCAAGACAGTGTTATGACCTCAGGTTCCTGCGGTTTACCCCTCATCCCCTCACCTATTCTCCTTTCACACAATTCCACAATTGGTTTGTGGCCGGAAATCCTCTCTCCGTCTTCCCATGCCTCTTGAGCTGCGTGAGCGTTCTGCCAGTACAAACCTTGCCCCATTTAGAAAATTATTGTTGGCCACCACATCCTAGACCACCCACGGTGGTCCTTTAACAATCTGGCTTTTTATCCCTGATGCCATTCTAAACCTACCCAGAGTCCAACAACCCATTGGACAGTGTAAAAGAATATCGAAAATTAACTATAACAAGGCTTTCTTTACTGTTTCCAGTCCATGAGCCACTAGGCCCAAGAGGAACAAACATGTAAATTTGGAGAAGTAATATATATAAAACCCTAACAAAGCACACATCATGTGCTGGTTTTGGAGGTTGTAAGAGAATGCTAAGCAAGCTCCTTCTTTTTATCATAAAACCCAATTTCAAGCTTTATTTCTGTCACCTTTTATTTCCTGATGTTTTAAAGAAGACTGGATTCTAGTGTTTCTTAAAAAACAAGGACCATTTTTAACTTGTGTAACTTAATAATTGATTTTCTTGTTAAGTAAGCTAAGTTCCCTGTGAAGCAGGGAGTGCCTAGTAAACCTCTGTATTGCTACTCTGCGCTTTATTGGGTCACCTGGAGCACGCTGGAGTTCTCCCGTCTTCATTTGCTTTAACAGAATTTGAAGAGGGCTGGGAACTGTGAGCGGTCTTGTCTTGCTTTAGGCATTTGCTTTCTTTTGCCATAAAAACAAAACATGCCAAATTAGCATTAGGAGGAAAGTGCCTGGAGGAGATCCAATGCTCATGAAATAAAGGATATGTTTTGCCTCTGATTTGGTTCAACAAGTAAAATTGGTTTTACTGGGTCAATAAACTCTGAGGGTTCTAAGCATCTGGTAGAGTTTAAGGTTTCTGTGAGCTGGGCACATTCAGGGTGAATGGTGAAGATGAAGGCCAAGATGCAAGGGCACCTCCAAGGACTCTGCTCAGATGGTCATATTAAGCACGGGCAACGGTTTGTTGCTTTTTGTTCTAAGTGTGGCCCTTAGAAGCAACAAAATAAACAATCCAGAGAACAGCCCAGAAACATACAAACTCACATAAACATCCAAGATCTCGTTAGTGGGACCTTCAGCCAGAAAGGACTCTCCAGCAGTGCTCGAAATCTCATTTGGACGCTTGTAGGTGAACATTGTCCCTCCACCCTCGTATTTTCCAGGCCGGTCAATTGCCCAGTTCCCGTTGATGATGGAGCGGCCAGAACGACTTCGCAAGGCTGTGGAGAGAAATGACGCAGTTTCTCAGGTAAGCCCAGGGTATGCACAAAAACTTGAACTGGTCCCCTACCCCGTTACTGACTTATTGATTCATTACGTTTTTCATCAGGATCCACTATGTGCCAGGCACTGGCCTAGGCCTTGAGGCAGGATGAGGTGTCTAGATCACATCCCTTTGGGCTTCATCGCCTCTTCAACCCACTTTGATCTCTTCCACCGTAGAAATGAAGGGCAAGTGTGGTTAGGTGAGGGGAAATAATTATATCCCATTGTCTAGGTGAGAGGGTGCACATTGGCAGCTCAGTAGCTGATTTTGGCCTGCAGATGGGCTTAATTTGGCCTTCGTGCCTTTGTATTATTATTTTTTAATGTAATTTAACTTAAATTTAAGAATTGGGAGATTTCACATGAAAAATTTAGAGCATTAGCTTGTCTTGTAAAACAAGAAGACATGTTAACATTGGCTGCATTCCCTCGAGGCAGCGATCGGTTAGCGCTATGGAGGACTGCCCCTTTTTGATGGAGCCTGGTTTGCCCTAATTGCCACCACTTAGGTGAAGTCTTAATTTATTTCCCATTTATTAATGAATATGAATTATGTATTCTACTTGTGATCATGCTTGCAGTGCAATGTTTCTTATGGAATGAACTTTTCACATAATTTTTCTACTTGTATGCCTCCTAAAAGTGGCAAAGCTAAAGAAAGGCCACTCAGTGTCACAAGATTGTCTCCTGCCAGGTCAGCTTCATTTATTTCTGTTACCACCCCGAGTTCTGTGAGCTACGTTAGATACTTCCACATACACTGTCAGAACTAATCCTCGAAACATTGCTAAGCAGATGCGTAACCCGATCTTTCAGAGACTTGGTTCACAGACCAGAGGGACTTCGTTCAAGCTCACGGAGATGGTAAGTGATGGAACTGTGATTTGAAGTCCACACTCACCAGGGAGGTAAAAAAGGAGAGGAAAGAAGCAGGAGTCAGGGTTAACGAGGGAAGAAGGGACAGCACACTAGAGCAGACTTGTTTCCTTACACATGTGGCACCTTGAAGTCCACAAGCCAATGGCAGATTGAAGGAGATCCTTCGTAAGTGCCATGTAAACAGTGGGTCCTGGGCTCTTCGAACTTTCATCTTACCGAGTTCCTAAATGTAATGTTTTACAACGCATTGTGGAAACTGTATATGTAAACACAAGAATTGAGAACAATATAATAAACATCCAGGTACCCACTGCCCAGCTTCAACAATGATCAATTCATGGCTTATCTAATTTCACTTTGCAAACCCCAGACTCCATTTTTACTTGTTTTTCAGTAGGTGTCTCTAAAACAAAGGACTCTTTGTTTCTTTTATTTTCCTGTATTTTTAAGATATATTTGTATTGCTTTCAGAGAGGAAGGGAGAGGGAGAGAGAGATAGAAATATCAATGAGAGCGACTCATTGATTGGCTGTCTCCTGCACGCTCTCTACCAGGGATTGAGCTGGCAACCCATGCATGTGCCCTTGACCAGAATCAAACCCGGAACCCTGCAGTCTGCACGCCAACACTCTATCCACTGAGCCAAACTGCCTAGGGCAGGGCTCTTTGTTTCTTAACCTTGGTTTCAGTAGTGATTCTGTAATGGAGGCTGCTCCAAGGATGAAAGAACCTCCAATTCTTTCCAAGCAGCCTCCCCTTCAGACTCTGCCCCTTGTTGCTATGGCTACTGAGAGACCACAGCTATGGAACATTAAATTATAAAATCAATTCAGCTTATTGAGTGGCAAAGAAGGGTCAAGAATAGACACTGAGGAAGAATAGGTTTGGGCTGTTTTCTATCAAAAACCACACTTCTCGTGAGTGGGCCATACAGTGTTTCCATGTCTTCATTTTCCATTCATTCCTCAATCATTTCCTGTTTGACCTTTGCCCCCATTATTCTACTGAAACAATTCATATTAATGTCACCAAAACTGTCATGTTGCTAAATCCAACGGGGACTTTTCAGGCCGCCTCTTACCAGACATCTCAGCGGCGTTTGGCACTATTGACCATTCCATCCTATTTGAAACACTCACTGGTTTCTGGGACACCACACTTGGCTTGCTTTCCACTGCTCTCAGGCTTCTGCTTTTCCTCTCTGTCTCATCTTTCTCTACTGGGCTATTAAGTATTAGCATTCTTCAGGGATTCATGGGCCATTGTGCCCATGTCCATGGCTTTAATTACTGTGTGCAGTGACTTTCAAATTTATGTTTCCAATCCAGACTTTTCCTCTGCTCCCAGACTTCTGTATCTAATTGCCTACTTGACAGCTTCACTCAGATGTGTTGTCTAAGACTGAACTTATCCCTAAATCTACCAGTGTTTCTTGTTTCAGTAAATGGTAACACCATCTAATTAGAAACCTAGGAACCATCCTGGACACTTCCTCCCTTCCTTGTCACCTCTATCCATCCATCATCAAATTTTATTTGTCCTCCTCCATATTTCTTGAGCCCATCTGCTTCTCTCCTTGTCCATCACCATAATCAAGTGCCAAGCTACTATCAGAGCTTATCTGCACTAACTCAAAAACTTTCAGCTTAGTCTTTCTGTTTCCCTTCTTTTCAGCAAGAGTGATCTTTTCAGAGTTCAGATTTGGTCACCAACTACAGCTCAAAATCCTTCAATAGCTTTCTCTTTCTCTAGGGAAAAACCCCAGTCATTAATGAGGCCAGGGCCATATCTTGTATCACTATCTTCTCTGTGCTCTGCTCTCTGGCCTTCTTTTAGCTCATCTGACACATCATATTCCCTCCAAAATGCTGTGCCTTCCTCCAGACATACTTCCATGAGCCTCCAGTCCCATTTGATCTTTTTATCCCTTTATTTTTTTTAATTGAATTTGCTGGGGTGACATTGGTTAATAAAATTATTATAGGTTTCGGGGGTACAATTCTATAATGCGTCATCTATATATTGTATTGTGTCTTCACCATTCCATGCCAAGTCTCCTTCCATCACCATTTATCTCCTCTTTACCCTTTCCTACCTCCCCTCACCTCCTTCCCTCTGGTAATCACAATACTATTGTCTGTGTCTATGAGTTTTTTTGGTGTGTTTTTTTGTTTGTTTGTTTTTGTTTAATCCCTTCACAGTTTTTACCCAGCCCTCCAACCCTCCTTCCTTCTGTATCTATAAGTCTATTTCTATTTTGTTTATTAGATCCTGCATATAAGTGAAATCATACAGTGTTTGTCTTTCTCCTATTTGTTCTTTAGCTGTCAGCTCCTCAGCAGTCTTCTCCCACCCCCAGCCCAAGCCTGTCTCTTCTCTCACTTGCTCTAATGAATGTCTATCTCCCAGGACACCCTAAGCTCCTAAAGGGCAAAGGCAGTGGTGCTTCCTCACTGTTAGAGCTCTAGTCCCAGCACAGTGCTCACCAGGTAGTAGGAACTTGCTATTTGATGAACACAAAAGTAGAAAAAGGCAACATCAAAAGAAAGGCAGGAAATGATAAATAGGCAATTCACAGAGAAACAAGTACAAATATTCCATAAGTAAATTAAAAGATGCTCTACCTTGCTTATAATTTAAGAAATGCAAATCAAAACCACAATGGTATATTCTTGGTCCACCAGATTGGCAAATGTTTTAAAAGATGTAATGCTGCCAGAATTGACAGGTATATGAAGCAAGCACCCATAACATTGTTGGTGGGAATATAAACTGATTCAATCATATTGGAGGGCAGTGATTATATTGTTAAAACTTTATGTGCCTATACATAAAGTACCCAGGAATTGTACTTCTAGGAAACTACTTGAGTAATACCCTTCTCTAAATATTCGAAAGTATTTGTAACAAGATATTCTCTGAAGATTTTTTTTTTAAATGTAGAAAAACTAAAACAACCTGAATTTTCATCAGTAGAGGATTGCTTAAGCAAATTGTCATAGTGGATGTCCATGCACTGGGCCCTAAAAACAATGAGATGGGTCTGTGTGTGTGGGTATGGCAAGAACTCCACGATAATTTTTGAAGGAAACAAAAAAGCAAAACAGTGTGTTTGGTATGATCTCATTTGTGTATACTTTATGTAAAAGCAGATACATGACACATGCAGGCACATGCACAATACTTTTTAGAGAAAGTCACAAAACTGTTAACATTTGTGGACAGAAACTGGGGTTTAGGTTGGGATGTGAGTTGAGAAGGGAGCCATTATTTCTTATTTTCTATCTTTTTACTACCATTTAAATTTTGCTTTACCATATGCTTATATTATTTTTTAAAGGCTTACGATTTTGTAATTAATATAAATAGCACAGTACAAGCAGACATACCCTGAGGGATATATGTATTTTCAATTTTTTACAGCTTCTCCTTAAAATCCCATTCAGAGTATCAAAAGCTCAGAACTGAGGTAAGTTCTGGCTAAGATTTTATTGCTGTTAATGGAAATATTGTACAAGAAGTTATTACCTGGAAACAAAAAGTTCTAGTAAAGAACCATTTGAAATACTTCATAGGAGAGAGCTGCAAGGGCCTCCAGCAAATAAAACATGGGACCTGAATCTTTTTATCGTCTACTGTCACTCACACATCCCTCCAAAGGTTTAGAGGAGTCCTTATCATTTAACAGCAGAGCATATAAAAGCCATACCAGATTTTTAGCAAACACACTCCTGATTCCATATGCCCACAGGTCAGCTTCTGAAACAGCTCCCAAAGAACCGCAACCTGGTCAGACATATTGAAAACAGCTGTACCTACTGTTTATGTGCCTCTAAGCCAGCGGTTCTCAACCTGTGGGTCGAGACCCCTTTGGCGGTTGAACGACCCTTTCACAGGGGTCGCCTAAGACCATCCTGAATATCAGATATTTACATTATGATTCATAACAGTAGCAACATTACAGTTATGAAGTAGCAACGAAAATAATTTTATGGTTGGGTCACAACATGAGGAACTGTATTTAAAGGGCCAGAAGTTGAGAACCACTGCAGCAGTCACAGGGCTATAAATGGTG